CAGCATAGTCAATAAAATATAATTAAAAAAAGAAAGTGAGGCAGATATCATACACTGCAGTGTCTTTACACTAAAATGTACCATTAGTACATTTTGAGGCAACACAGTGTTATTCTTAGACAGCTACCATGCCAGGATTCTTATAATTTACTTTTTAATGACATCTGCCTGAAATTTCTCTCTTAAGGTCCTAGAAGTAAGATACACCCAGGATATCTTATGAAAGAGTTCAGCTGCTCTGGCTCAGAAAATTGTTTGCTTTTTGCCCCAGACCTTTTCAGCGCCAGCCCCCATCCTCCCGTGTCTGTTTAGTGAATACTTACTCCGCCCCAGATATTTGCCTGGAGCCTGAAACTGGAGGGAGAAAAGCCTCACTTGATGCCTTTGAAACGCCTACAACCCAGACAGTTGAATAAATGCAGCGTCACATGGCTGAGGTTCCTGAGGGAGGCCAGATGTGGAGACACATGGAAAAAACATTGAAGGTCAGGGAGAGGGAAGGCTTCCTGGAGGCAGTGGTGTCTGAGCTGAGTTATGAGGAGGGTGAGTCTCGGAGAGTCTGGGAGTCGGTAAAAACACGTGAGAGCTGGACTGTAGACACACGGAAGCCTCGGGGGTGTCAGAAATCCACGGAGGACTCAGTGTGCCTGGGAGTGAGGACCTGGGGCAGAAGCTGGGGGCAGGTCAGAGAACAGTTTGGCTTTAATGACCTCTTGGTGTTCAAATAACCACCACAGGTGGTTGGAGCAGGGCCTGCCATTCAAGTCCTAGGAGCTACTTTCCTGTTTGGAATTTGAAGTGTTTGTCTTACTTCTGAGGCTATACATGTGTGTGTTAGGAAACAAAAACCAGAGAGGCACGCAAAATGAAGGCAGCTCTGCCCCCCGCAGTCCTGACCTTTCCTTAACAAGTTGTAAATCCTTCTAGATCTTTACATATATATTTTCTTCAATAATCTAAATATTTTCTTTCAAGTGCTATTAAAACCCACATATTACTTTGTAACCTGCTTTTTTGTTCAGTTCGTATTTTAGCAACCTGTTTTACATGTTAATGGACATTCCATTCTTCCGTATTATTTGTAATATCCCACCAGTAGCATCATTTTAGTCATACCGCAATGTATTGAAACATGCATAGGGTGGTGTGACTGTATTTGAATACTGGACATTTTGATTGGTTTCAGTACTTTGCCATTAGAAACAGTATTTAGATAAACATTCTTGCTCATACCCCAAATTATATCCCTGAGTCCTCGTCAGGAGCTTTATTAAATTTTAATCTTAACAAGATTATAAGATTACCATACCCAGAATAATTAGAAAGCAATGCAAAAGCACGCAGAACCTTTCTCTGTTAATCATCCTTACTTGTTACCATGTGGCGAATGGTGACCTTGCTATACCCCTTGCCTCATAGCCTTCGGTTATGCAACCTACCGTCTGGAAGTGCAATGAGCTCAGGAGGAGGTGACGCGGCGTTTGGTTAAGTGTGACAGACACCACTGGGCCTCCGTGTGCCGGGAGGGGAACAAGGCAGCACGCGGGGGCCCAGCTCAGGCTGGGGAGGCAGGGGAGCGGTGGGAGAAACAGGGGATCCCCAGAGGCTGGCCGTGCAACTCCGCGTGGGGAGTCGGGATAGGAGTGGGGGTGGGGGGCTTCCGGGAGAAGAGGCCCAGCCTGGAGTGGCCCCCAGTTTGGGCTGCTGTAGACAGCAGTCAGATATCAGATCCAGTGGGGGGGGGCCTTGGAATGGGGTGGGGGGTTTTGCCAAGCGACACCTAAGATGCTTTCTGTGTTAGTCAGGGCTCCCTAGGGACCCAGGCTCGCAGGACTAATATAGACATAGGTGTATTTTGAGGGATTGGCTCACGTGTACGGAGCCAGAGAAGTCTCACATTGGGAAAGCTCGTGGCGTCCTTTCTGTCCCCACCCAGAGGCCTGAGACAAAGGAGCCAGCGGCCCAGATGGCAGCCGGTGGAAGTCCGGGTTCAGTCGCACGCAGGCCTGCCCTCCCCTCCCTTTTCGTTCTGCTCCCATGGGACCGATGCCCGCCCTCCTGGGTGAGGGCGACCCTCCGCTCTCAGTGTACCACCAGAGCTGATCTCTTCCTGCAAGACCCTCACAGGCAGACCAGAAATGGTGTCGCCACGGTTTCGTTCAGCTCACGTGCACTCCGTGGAAAGGAGGGGGCCGCGTGGGGGACTCTGTGTAACAACAGAGCACAGGCGCACCTGGTGTGGACGGGCTGGGGCAAGTTCACGGTGACGCACGGGGACGGCGAGGCAGAGTGCAGAGAGGGAGAGAGGGGACCCGGGACGCATGCCTTTATTAGGGCCTGTGGGTGGCGTGCTTTGGGGTTCCCTGTCAGGGTTTAGGTAAGCCCCAGGAGGGTCTTATCCAAAACGCACGGAAGCTGTGGGAGGCAGGGGAGAGGGTAGATCCCAAGTCTTGCTGTGGAAAGTCCCCTTAGGAACTCACGATGACCGAAGGCCCTGCAGGCTGCTCTCTGGGGCCTGTGCCTGCGTGTGGGGCCGGGGTCAGTGCAGGTCCCCGTGGGACGCTCGGTTAAACAGAACGGACCCAGCAGAACCACGCAGCCGCGGAGCTGGACTCTCGCTCAGCACCTCACCAGCCATCTGGGGGCCCTCAGCCCAGTCGGAGTGGCACAACCCAGGCTGCAGACTTACATTTCTCTCAATAATCAACAGCTAGAACCTCTCACTTGCCTCACGTCCCCTAATCCCCAGGCTGTCCCGGAAGGACTAGAGATGCCGTTCCCATTGGTGCAGAGAAATATCTAAGGCTCCTGCTGGTAATGGAGAAAGGATGGGGGGTCCAACCCCGCCTCTTCCGACCCAGACCCCAGGTGTCACTGCGACATCCGTCCCCGCTCTGCTGTGCACTGCGTTCCCTCCTCAGCAGGCGTGTTTCCTTAGCTGTGCTGCCTTCCGGTTCGGTCTGCGCGGCCCTTTGGGACAGAAGGAATGAGCAACCGTGGAGACCCTCCAGGATGCAAGCTTTGCGTTGGGTGTTTTTCCTGAAGCCTCTCGTCTCCGCCTCCTAACCTCGGTGAGAGACGCAGGACAGCGGGTCTTCCCTACGCAAGTCAGGGAACGTGGCAAAAAGCACGCAACTAACTTTGAGGGAGCAGGGGGTTTATCTGACATTGAAAACCACACACGCACTTTTGCAAGGCCTCGGTTATCGGTTTCCTTGCCCACCGCCCTCTGAGCCGCATCAGGGTCCCTCTGGTTAGAAGAGCCACCAGTCCAGGGTGGCAGACAGTTCCACCGCCTGGCTCCGACTTTGGCTGCCTGCAGAACACACCCAGTTAGGAAGTCCCTGGGTTGCTCTCCCTCCCTCCCGACCCTGGCTCTGCCCGCTGGGGCACTCGCTCTGCAGAGGGGAGCCTGCGAGACATTAAGGGCCTGTCAGGCCTCCAGCTGGGCCCCCTTCATCATGTGCTTGGGTCTGGCGTCCTGAGGATGAGCAGGAACGGGTCCTTTTCTTTCCTGTTTCACTGTTCAGTGTCAGGATGAGGTTTCTTGTCAGTTGGAAAAGGAGAGACCGGACAACAAAGGAGAGGATGATAGAGAAAGGTGGGGCGTCACCAAGCCAGCAGTTTTGGAGTCACGCGGGCAGAAGTCACTATTCTTCGGGTCCACATTTGATTCTGCATTTCCTCCTTAGCATGCAGAGAGCTGCTTCAGCTCCTGGAAAAAGGAATACGTTCAGTGACATGAAACATGTTTAGTAAGAAACTACAAATGAAAGTTCAACATCAACTCCGCCTGTCCACTAAATGCTTGGCTGAACTCCGGAGAACAGTGGTGAGGCTGCTCTTGGACACGCGCCCGGACAACAAACCATGAGAACGACCTTGGACAGAAATGGAGAGGGTGTTAGGCGCTCCGTGTGAGCGAGCCCCCGTGGGCCCAGGGAGTGGGGTGGAAATTGGCCTGGCCATTTTGGAGAGTGCGAGTCAACCAGAGTTGAATGCGTTTTTGAAGACGATCTATTTGTTAGTGGAGTCAAAGGCTGATGAGCGGCACTCATATCTTTAGCAAAATAGAGTAAACTGAGGAATTGAAAAGTAAAGAGAAACATAGTTCCAGCAAGGTGGGAGGAGCCCTATTATGCTTTCTTTTCTTCACCAAGAACAAGGAAACAGTGACCACAAGATAGCAGGGGCCAGGAAGGTGTTACGGGAACGTGACCCTGGTGTTACGGGAGGGAAGCCCATCTCATTGCTGTAGGAAGGTCCAGGCTGGGAGCTGACTGCCTGCAGGCCAGGGTGGTATGCAGGTGGTTTTCTGCTCTTTGCTGCTATGGTGAGCGCAAAGCCCTGCGGGAAGCCGCCACTGTCCCTGGGCCCCGGAGGGTTAGGGTTAAGTCTACAGACTGGAGCCGGTCCTTTCATTTATTCCACTGAGTCCCCTTAGGGAAGAACAAAGATGGTGAGAACATGTGTTAGAATTTTATCTCCGAGAGATGGCTACAAAATATTAAATCGGCTCCAACAATCCGAGCCAACTTGAAGACTCCCAGTCTCTTAGGATAAGGAAAGAAGTACATATAATCCTATTGAGAAATTCCTGGTGCGATAACAGAGCTGGGTTGGGTCCTTTCCACGAAGCCTATTAATTAAACAGTACGTAATCCAAAGCCAATTAAGCAGGACGGTATTATAACAGATTCTAATTTCATTAATTTTTCAAAGCATGAATAATAACTACATGCTCAACACCCCAAAATTCACATCTTCCACCGGTGGCTGAGGACAGTGCAAATGATTCCAGGCGGGGTCGCGGCTGGCTGTGGGCTGACCTCCCTCCGACGATTGATCGCTGCCAGGCAATATTTCCCTTGCGGGTTAGTCATTAGGTCAGGCTTGATGAGAAACAGATACAAATTGGGCTGGGAAACCAAATATGCGTTACATTTCTCCTCGCGATCAAAAGCCAATTTACCATAGGCTTTTTGTTTTGTTTTGTTTAGGCTCATGCCAAAATCTGGCACCTCTACAACACTTCCTTCCGCCCGACTCAGGGGGGCCAGGTGTCCATCGCCCTCAGCTCCCACTGGATCAGCCCCCAGAGAAGGACGGACCGCGGCATCCAAGAATGCCAGAAATCTCTGGACTTCGTTCTCGGCTGGTTCGCCAAACCCATATTCGTTGATGGCGATTACCCCGACAGCATGAAGAACAACCTGTCATCCCTCCTGCCAACCTTCACTGAACCTGAGAAGAAGTTCATCAGAGGCACAGCCGACTTTTTTGCTCTCTCCTTTGGACCGACCTTGAGTTTTCAGCTCCTGGACCCTGCCATGAAGTTCCGCCAAGTAGAATCCCCCAGCCTGAGGCAGTTGCTCTCCTGGGTTGACCTCGAATACAACCACCCACAGATATTTATTGTGGAAAATGGCTGGTTTGTCTCAGGAACCACCAAGCGAGATGATGCCAAGTATATGTATTACCTCAAAAAGTTTATAATGGAAACGTTAAAAGGTAGGATTGGGGAGGAAATTCGAATTTCCTCCCCAAATCCATGGCTAAAACAATCTCTAAGATGATCTGTAATAAACTGTGTGAATTTATAGTTTTTGATCATAATGGAGAAATTGATTTTGGCCATAACAGGAATGGATTCTCATCACACCTTTCTCATTTGGTGACTTGAGGAACTTACGTGAATTTTTAAACTCATTTTGTAAATGAGAAGCTAGATTACAATGTGTGAAATTACTTGACTTTCAGAATGACTACTCTAGATTTTTAGATTACATTAAGGATTCAGGAAATCCCAGGGTATATAGCTCTGCTTACGTGTTTTGGGTTCTTACAGTTTGTATCGAATGAGGCACTTTAAACATTTTAAAAAAGGAATATCAGCATCTGGAGAAAACAGTCAGTACTTCATGCTTTCAAAGACTTTATTCATTTCTTACATCAGGCACAACGTTAGGTGCCAGGATAGAAAGGGAAATACTGGCCAGGCCCAACCAGCCACACCAGAGATAAGAGTAATCCAAGTAAAACTATTGGAGATAAGTCTATTTGTGAAGAGCTTGTTTGTAGAGTTATCCAGCGGTTTACCAAACAATCAGCTCCCTTCAGAGTCGATTCCCTTACCTGGGAAGGCCCCCAGGGCTCTTGCAGCACGGGCGAGTGTCCGGCGCAGGGTCACTTGCTCCTGTCCTCTCTTCCCTTTGCAGCTATCAGGCTGGATGGGGTGAATGTCATCGGGTACACGGCGTGGTCCCTCCTGGATGGCTTCGAGTGGCACCGAGGCTACAGCATCCGGCGTGGGCTCTTCTACGTGGACTTCCTGAGCCAGGATAAGAAGTTGTTGCCCAAGTCTTCAGCCTTGTTCTACCAACAGCTGATAGAGAAGAACGGCTTCCCTCCTTCACCTGAAAACCAACCCCTAGAAGGGACCTTTCCCTGTGACTTTGCTTGGGGAATCGTGGACAACTACATTCAAGTAAGTCAGCTGACATACCAATGGGCGGTGTTACCCGGCCCTCCCGCTAGTAAGGGGAGCTTCCTTCTCAGGTGGCCACGGCCCACGTGCATCCCCCCCGAGTGCACTCGGTCTCTGAAGGGCGTCCTTTGGAACGCCGCATCCTTCTCTCCAAAACTCTTCCTGGCTTCTCCCCCTCAGCCCCCAGAGGGGAACAAAACACATATTAACATTTAAGATCTGATAAAGTACACTCTTTTTTTTAACGCAGTGGTTTTCAAACCTTCGGGGTGGTTGAGTTCCATAACTGCTACGTGACACGGAGCTCATATTGTGCCCGGGGCAGGCCCGCTGGGCAGAGCCCCTCCTCCCGAGACGTCCCCGAGGGTCCCCAGTCTTGCTGAAGGACGGAGAGGAGGGAAACCCTCGCTGGAACTCATCTGGAGCGCCGGTCACCGAGCTGGGGGAGGGGAAGCACTTCGAAGCGGCTGGCCGATGCGTTTCCCGAGCCCCTTCTCTGTACTTTGTTCTCGGCATTATTTTAATTTAATGATTTAACTTAGAAAATTCAAACTTTAATTCTTTTCATTAAAAAAAAATTGTTTTCTAGAATTTGATCAAATAGTAGGTACTTGCTGGGCAGTGAGCGTGTGCCCAGCCCAGTGCTGGTGGCTGGGGGGCTCGGTCGAGGGGGGTGTGCGGGGAGGTGAGCCAGCCTGGTCCCTGCCTTGCAAACAGTCTGAAGAGAAAACGCCGGCTACACAAACCGGACGGCACAGCGAACGGAGCACGTGGTGAGTGAGCGGGGCGGGGGTGGTGCCGTTGCTGGGCACGGTGTGCAAACAGACCAAGTTCACTATCAGCGCACAAGCAGGGGCGTTGGTCTCGTCACGTTGGGTGCTTCCAGCCAGTTCACTGGTTCTGTAGGGGAGGAAGAACAACGTTCCCTCCACCCTTCTGGGTTCTTAGCTGAGACCCCTGTGATAAAAGTCAAGTTAACAAGAGAAAAACCCCGAAGTTCATTAACACGCGTACCTCCGATACATGTGCGAGATGCTCAGAGAGAAATGAGCAACCCCAAAGTGGCTTAAAATTCAGGCTTAAACACCATGTTAAGAGGGGAGAGGGATGTAGGTCTCTTAAGGGAGAGCAAATGACCTTCAGGAAACATAAATGGGCCCTTGTAAGAACAGGTGGGAACTACGGCAGTTTGGGAGCAGGTTCATCTGGGCGTGGAGCTGACTCCTAGTCTCCTCTGCTGTGACAAGGGCCAGTCTTCCCCGGCTGCTGAAACTCGGGAGGGGGGTGCATCTTCAGGCAGCCAAGGAGAGTGCAGGGAAAGTCTCCCCCACCGCCCCGGCATCCACGGTGAGCGCCTGCAGCCCAGCACACCAACCACAGGGGCCCGTTCCGGCTGGCTGTCCTGTAGCCCTTCGGCTCAGACGTATTTGGGAGAATGTTTGGATCTGAGGAAAGGCCTTCTGGTTGAAACGGGTTGCTCTTCTCTTGTAAATATCAAATTGCCATCTTTCAGTTAAAGGACGGTATATCAACGCCACGCTTCCTATGTGTTTTCTGGGTATGTATCACTCTTGTGTCTCTTTCAGACCCTCAGTTAGCTTTAGGGGTGGTCTCAGAAGTGAAGCCCGTCCTTGCAGGTGAGCAAGGACGTCTGAGGCCACCCCAGTCCTGGCAGCTCTGCCTCTCAGTGGGGGTTTCCAGGGCCCCCCCTCCCCTCCCTCAGCCCTCTGCTCTCTGCGGCTTCCCTGTCCAAGCTGCTGTCCTGCAAGGGGGGGACCCAGTGGGGCTCTAGTGCCTCCTTGTCATTGGGGGTGTAGGCTCCTCCCCGTCTCCCGGATGGTAGCCTAAGCCTGGGCAGTTGCACCCCATTCAGTGCTCTGTGCAGAGCTGTCCGGCCAGCATCTCTGTGCAGACATGTGAGCTCGGAGAGGCTGGAGGGAGCCCCTTTTCTCTCTCTGCTCGGTCCCCACTTAAGGGCAGAAAGGTTTGCCTTGGAGACAGGTAATGAGTGAGAAAGTCTGAAGAATGTTTCCTATTTCCTCAAAAGAGAAGAGGCACTGGGATCAGGTGCAGCAAGTATGGCAGGGAGGCAGGAGGGGGATGGAGCAAGGACCCTTTTCCTACCCCTTGGAAGCACTCATTCTAGAACTTGATCCACAGTCAGGCTGCCCTTCCCTCCCCATTTACATCATCAGCTCTGGGCGGGGGGCTTCTCCTCCACCCAGCGGAGCCCCAGGGCTCTCCAGTACAGAACCAGCCAAACCCAGGGTTGGTCAGGTCTCTCTCCACCTTGGGGCGGACTTGAACTTCTCCAGAAGACCTTTAGTGGTAGAAGGCCGCAGCTGCAGGTTTGTTTTTTCTGCTTTTCACCGTTGAGCTCTGTATTCTTCTGGCAGTACCCTTCCCCAGCCAGCTTCCTAACTGACAACGTGCCAACAAGTTTTTTGGGGGTACAGTTTCTAGGAATGTGGGCGAATGCTTTAATTTACAGGCAGCACTCTATACTTCTAAAATATTACATTAAAATCCTGAGAAGTGGCTTTCAAACCATTGAAATGTACCTTTTCCCTCTGGCCTAGCATTAAAAAAACCCTCATGTTAATGAGGCCTGCATTTCACTTGAAAAACTGTAAAAGTCACACCCCTGTGGCACACAACATGTCTGAAGTTTGACCTCAGGTGTATTTGCAAGGATTGTCACTGTGAGGGACCCATTCCCCAGCTCACACTGTTTGCCCAGCTACTAACTCTCATCGTGAACTTGGTACAGAGCCCGCTGCATGCTGGAGCCTGGGCTTCTCTAACACCAGCCATGTGAGGAGCGAGGTTTCACGCCCACTTCTTCTGCAGGTTCAGTTTTATTAGCTCATTTTTCTTCATTAAGAAATACATCAACTAACTAATGGAGTTTAGATAGGATTTTGCCTTAAGTCTATCATTTCTAGATGTCTTGCAGTTTTAAGAAATAGATTTCCTCCCAAAACTTATACTTTAGTCTCTCATGTTTGTTTTCAAGTGGACTGAATAAAAGCTGGTGTTTGGGGGACAATTATGGTAGAAAAGATACAAATTTAGTCAACTCGGAGTTCTGTAAAAATAATCCAAAAATTCTTTCGAGCCGTGGACACTTTCCTTTCAGAAGAGCACACAAGTCTTTTCTCCGGCAGAGCAGAGGAGGCGTGGTTTGGGGTGCACTGCGGTGAGGAGATAACTTCTGACGGCACCCCTGTAACGCTGGGGAGATGCACTCCGGGGCAAGCTGCCAGGCGCCCTCCTCCAGCGAAAGCAGTTGCCCTCCCACACGCTGATTTTATAAAGATTTGCCTTTGTGCACACAGCACCGACTCCTACAGCGGCTCGTTTGCTGCAGGCCCCAGGAAACCTGCCCTAGAGATTGCAAGCTGGGGTTCGTCTGACCCCGGCTTCTGTGCAGAGGGTCATGCCAAAGTAACCCTCTCTAAGGAGACCCCGGGTGTGGGCAGTGGGCTAGGGTGCACTTTCAGTCTGCATCACCTCCCTGGTGGGCACGTGGAGGGGGCATTTTGTCATTCTGAGTTTACAATTTGTCCACTCTCCTGAATGCCTAGTTTCATTCTGGAGGCTTCAATGTCAGATGTTGATCGTCATAGAAAAATAATTAGGAAAAAATTTAGTCCGGCTGGTGTGGCTCAGTGGATTGAGTGCTGGCCTGCAAGCCAAGGGGACACTGGTTCAATTCCCAGTCACGGCACATGCCTGGGTTGTGGGCTGTGTTCCCAGTAGGGGGCGAGCAAGAGGCAACTACAAATTGATATTTCTTTCCCTCTCTTTCTCCTTCTTTTCCCCTCTCTCTAAAAATAAATAAATAAAGCCTTAAAAAACTTTAAAACTATGTTAAAAAACCCCATTATGGGTGGATGACAATTTCATTTCCTATGTCCACATTCTTCACTGCTTCCTACTGTCAGATTGAACTTGTTCAATTCCGTCATCAGCTGCAAAGCTAATAGAAGACTCCGGTTCTGCTCATTCAGTGTCTTCTTTCCTGGGAGCAGCGCTCAGTGCAGGGCGTGATTTTTAAGAAGCACAATTTAATTTCAAATGCCATTTCATTCTTTGACTCTGACTCACTCAGCTGTTAACCTTTTTCTTTGCCATTTAAAAAATAATTTCAGAGTCTCATCTCATCAGTCATTTCTCGTATCAGAAGAAAAACGCCCCCAAATCCTCTGCTGTTTAACACAGACTAGAGATGCGTGAGAATCGTGGCTGATGTTTGTCACCTAAAGTGAGGGGAAAAAAATTTGAGTTTTTAAAGCAGGGTTAGAATCACAAAGAGAACCAGGGGTGAGACAAATGTGCATGGACAAAATGGGCTGCTTTCTTGTTCAGGAGCTCGGTATTCATGGAAAATCGTGTGAGCGTCCTGCCAGAAAGGCTCCTGTATTCGCTCACCCTGACGGATAGTTTCGCTGAAAGAGCTGCACGGAACTCCTCTTCCCGGCCGTCCAGGTAAGCCGCATTTATGCTCCTCTGTCCCCCTAGGTGGACACCGCTCTGTCCCAGTTCACCGACCCACATATCTACCTGTGGGACGTGCACCGCAGCAAGGGACTCCTGAAGGTGGATGGCCTCACGGCCAGGAAGAGGCCGCCCTCCTGCGCGGACTTCACGGCCATCCGCGCCCAGGTGGCCCTCCTGCAGGAAGCGCACGCCACGCACTTCCACTTCTCGCTGGACTGGGCCCTGGTCCTGCCGCGTGGCGACCGGTCCCAGGTGAACCTCACGGCCCTGCACTTCTACCGCTGCATGGCCAGTGAGCTCGTGAGCGCCAACATCACGCCTGCGGTGGCCCTGTGGCGCCCGGCCACCCCGCACCAAGGCCTGCCCGAGCCGCTGGCCCGGCAGGGTGCCTGGGAGAACCCCCGCACTGCCCTGGCCTTTGCCGAATACGCCCGCCTGTGCTTCCAGGAGCTCGGCCCGCACGTCAAGTTCTGGATCACGATGCAGGAGCCCCCCACGCGGAACATGACCTACAGCGCCGGGCACAACCTGCTGAAGGCGCACGCGCTGGCCTGGCGTGCCTACGACGGGCAATTCAGACGCTCCCAGAAGGGGAAAATATCCCTGGCCCTGCAGGCCGACTGGATCGAGCCGGCCTGCCCTTCCTCGCCGAAGGACCAAGAAGGGGCGGAGAGGGTGCTGGAGTTTGACATCGGCTGGCTGGCCGAGCCGGTGTTCGGCTCTGGGGATTACCCGCGGGCGATGCGGGACTGGCTGAACCAGAGGAACAATTTCCTCCTGCCCTACTTCACCGAGGAGGACAAGAGGCTCGTCCGGGGCTCCTTCGACTTCCTGGCGGTGAGCCACTACACCACCATCCTCGTGGACTGGGAGAAGGAAGAGCCGAGCAAGTACAACGACTACCTGGAGGTGCAAGAGATGACGGACATCACGTGGCTCAACTCGCCCAGTCAGGTGGCCGTGGTGCCCTGGGGCTTGCGCAAAGTCCTGGGCTGGCTGAAGTCCAAGTATGGAGACTTGCCCACCTACGTCATCTCCAGTGGCATCGATGACGACCTGCAAGCAGGCCAAGACAGGCTGAGGGTGTACTACATGCAGAATTACCTGAACGAAGCTCTGAAAGGTAAGGCCCCTGACAACTGTCTCTTGAAGGGGACATTACCCAGGGCATGCCACCTGTCAGAAACTCTCAAACACATACACACAGCCACCTTCAGAGTGAAGGGCTGTCCCTGTTTGCCACACTGAAAAGGCCCCGCAGGGAGTTGGGATTTTATCCAGAGATAAAGGGGTGTAGCTACGAGCCGCAGACTGAAAATCCCAGCCACCGGCTCTGGGCCTCGGAGGTGCGGATGGTCCCGCCCTCCACCGTCCCCTGGCCCATAGCAGTCCCACCTGCTTCTTGGGTGCAAAGATGAACCCAAGTGCCTCATGGTGGGCTGCACTATGTAAAACCTACTGAGTTAAATGCAGCTCCATATTTGCCTTCCCAGACCAGCAGCCTTTTCTGATGAAATCCGATTTAACCCGAAGTTTTATTAAAGGGCATTAACACTTCCCCGGACGTACCAAGGCCATGGGTGCCTCATGGATTGCATGCAGAGTATTTCACTAACTCGCCCTCTGTCCCTGTGTCCCTGCAGCCTACGTGTTGGACGGGGTCAACCTCTGTGGCTACTTCGCCTACTCGTTCAGCGACCGCACGGCGCCCGGGTTTGGCCTCTATCGTTACGCTGCCGGTCAGTTTGAGCCCAAACCATCCGTGCAGCATTACAGAAACATCATCGACGGCAACGGCTTCCCTGGCCCGGAAACGCTGGGCGGGCTGTGTGCGGAGGACTTCTCGCTGTGCGCGGAGTGCACCTTTCCCCACCCCCAGAGGGGTTTGCTGGCCTTTGTCGCATTCCTGCTCTTCGCCGTCATCATCTCGCTTTCCCTTATGTTTTACTACTCCAGGAAAGGCAGGAGAAGTTACAAATAGTCCTGAACACTGTCCTATTTATTTATTATGCATACGCATTAGCTGTTCGCCATTTGCACTTGTCGGCGCTGTGACACTGTCGATTTCATACATCTGATTTCTGTGAAACCTTTCTTCCACGTGTGACAGGTTTTGAAATAAGCACAGGTGACTGTAAAACCTTAAATAATGTGAATTGTGCCTGGGTTTTTTTTGGGGGGGGCGGGGGGAGTGGTCAACAACCCAGGGGCCATCATTTCTATGACACCTTCTGTAACAGAACACTGGGAAACAGGAACCGTTCTGTAACATTTTTACAGAAATTTAAGGACGAGGTTGGGATAGTTTTACCTGTGCCCATTCCTAAATAATGTGTTTTACTTAAAGTAATAATCGAAAGGGTTGGAAATCAAAGCTAATTCCCAAGCAACCATCTCCCAGCCTCCACGAGAGGCCCGATGGTCTCTGTGCGACCGAGTGTCCCTTGAAAAGGCAGGTGACAGAATGCAGGAGAGATGACGGGGCCCTGGGCGGGAGCTGTCCTCTCAGATGCAGCATTTCTGCCAAATGCTGCTGACGTTAATCCGTCTCTGGTTCGTGACATGCCTGGCGGAGCGAGTTGTAGAACTTGATATTTTTAGGTGACTTTCAAGGCCCCCTCAGGACCCCCGAGCTCTTGAAAGGTTTGTGTCGCGGGGCCCTGGGGAGGGCCGGCCCGATCACCAGGGACTTTCCATGACTTTGCACAAAGTAAACATGACTCAGGAGTTGCCGGGCACCTCAGGAGGCACACCCCGATGCTGAACGCGCCGCACTGCCGGGAACCGGGAGGAGGGAAGGCGTGAAGAGTCCGTGTTCTGAGCAACAGGATGACTCATTTGGCTATAAGCCCTTTCCTTGTAGCAAAGGCCTTGGAATGAATGAGGTGCCCTTTTGGAGAGAGTCAGAAAAGGTGTAACTCACCCTGTGAAGAATGGCTTGACTCGGCTCTTTAGAATGAGCCATCATTTCTGTGAGTGGGGTTTTAGAAATGTCCCCGGGTCCCACGGCACGTGGCCTGCTCACACTGGAAAGTTTGTGTCCCTGTGTGCTGAGGCCCCGTTGCCATTCTTGCTGCTGCTGCTGCTGTGGTGGAACTAGCTTGCAACTAGTTTTGCTTTGAATCTTGACACTGTGACAGGCTGCGGGTGTCCTGGTATCCTCCAGTGCCCCTGACGTTGGTCTTGCTGACACTCGTCTTGCTGACACTCAGACAGGGACATCTGTGACTCTGGAGCTGTGGGTGATCTCGGCGTTTGTTTTTTAGATGAACCAGCATCGTGTCAAGTCAGATGAACCACCACTGTGCCAGGGGTAGCTGATCTCACTGACAGCGTTACAATGGATAAGAAACACTGTACTGTATTATACATCCTTGTTAGAGGAGGTATGATTTTTTTCCATGAAAGATAAGCTTTCGGTGGTACTCCTTTAAAAATTAAACTTATTAAAATTGGAAGCTAGAGAATCATAGTTTATTTTATGTATATATTTTTACGGTAATAAGAGTAATATATATTCACTGTATAAAGTTTTAAAACACAGAAACTGTATGTAAAAAAATTAACCTGTGACTTCACCACCTTGAAGTAGCCAATATCACCATGGGCTCTGTATTTTATTTTACATAATTGGAGTCCGATCATATTGTAAATTGTAGTGTATCTTTACTAACTTTTATTGTGTGCATTTCCTTTGTCATTTATCTTAGAAGCATACTATTTTTACTAGCCGTACAGTAATCCCAACATATGAATTTGTCAACTTATTTAACCTCAACCATTCCTCTTTGTTGGACTAGTTTCTTATTGTTGTTAACTATTGTTAAAATGAATGTTGCTTTACAATGCTTTGCTCACTGTGATAATTTCTTTGAGTGTATAGAGGAGCAATTCTGTTCCTTGGTAAAGAATTACAATAAGTCTGCCAATAACTTTGCCTTTTTTTATAATTACGTGACTTGTTGATGGATAAACTTATTGAAACAGTTTTTTAAGTCGTCTAAACCACATGGATCAGAGCGGTGAGGAAATAGGCCTGACAGGAAGGAGCGACCTGCCAGGCCGGCTGGTAGGTTGGTTGGGGAGGGTGCCCCAGGCTGGTCTGGGCGGTGGAGCTGAGGGGTCAGCTGAGAGATCATCTCAGACTCGGGGAGCAAAATAGGGGAAGGGCTGGGAGGGGCAAAGCAGCTGCCAAAGTTGGGAGGAGAAACCGCACTTCAGAGTCATGTTCCTGAGTTACCAGGAGAGCAGCGTGCTAACTCTGAGTCCCCATGAACCCCAGGGGGAGGTGGGTGGCCCCCACCGGCCTGAAGGAAACAGGGTCCTCCGGGATCTGACCCCCCCACGTCCAGCTCCTTGCTGAGTGGCTTCTCAGAGCACTGCCCCTCCCACTGACCCTCGGCCCTCAGGGAGACTGGGCTTCTCCCCCATCGCTGATGGCAGAGGCGGGTTTGTGGTTGTGAGTGACATTCCTCTGAGTCCGTAAAGCTTATAATGATCAGAACCTGCATTCTCTTTCCATACAAACAGCTGTAAACCACCTTTGGCCCACTCCATACATGTATATACAAATATATATATTTGTGTGTATATATATATATATATATACACTCACGTGTGTGTGTGTGTGTGTACAAACCCCGGAGACTGTTCCCCTGGAACACCTAGATCTCTTAGCAGTTGGGGGCCACTCTACAGGGGCACTGAGTGGTGAGCTGTGGGTCATTTTGCCTGGGTTTTGAAGGCCTGGTATTCAGATTCATTAAGGACATTTTTCATTCCTCTTTTTCGTCCACAGACAGTATTAGCATTTACTAATGCCTTGGAAGCTTTTCTTCACATTATTCATAACATCTCTCTCTGACAGAGCTACAATGCAAGTCACATATTTTAAACTTTCTGGTAGTCACATTAAAGAAATAAAAAAGCACAGGAGAAATGAAGTTTAGACTACATTGTATTTTCCCTACATATCCAAAATATTGTAATTTCAACAGGCAATCAATATACAAATGATTAACATTTTCACATCCTTCCCTTTGGTGCTAAGCCTTAGAAATCCGGGGCGTGTTTGGCAAGCGTGGACGCCGGAGCTCGTCAATGGGTCGGCGGCACCGGGAGGGCCAGGCGGCGACTCTGGGGCACGCAGGCTGGTAAGCAAAGCCTCACTCTGCAGAGTCAGCAGCACGACTAATGTATCCAACATATTTAACAACTTAGAAGACTAAACTCTTCTTGCGTGTCTTCTAAGCATCCTGGCTGGGGTGGCTCATGGATTGAACACTGGCCTGTGAACTGAAAGGTCACCAGTTCGATTCCCAGTCAGGGCACATACCTGGGTTGTGGGCCAGGTCCCAAGTTGGGGATGTGCAAGAGGCAACCAATTAATGTTTCTCTCCTTCTCTTCTTCCCTTCCCTTCTCTCTAAAAATAAACAAAATCTTTAAAAATAAAAGAATCTTCTAAAGTCTATAATTCATAGAAATCATTGATATGTAAGTTTACAACGAAGCTTAACTGTGGACTAAAACAAATATGTCAAAGACATCTACATAGAGAGAAGCATTTTGCAATCCTGAATGTCAATTCAGGATTAAATTGCTTTTCTTTTTACATAGTCTGTAGTTCTGCCTTTTCTCTAATTCAAATCGCCCCTTTCTAAATTGCTAGAGCAATTGTATTGTTCTACGGCATCGAGACTCAATGTTTAATGGGACCGGCACTGCTCAAAAATGCTTGGGGAGGAGAACCTTAGTTCGGATGCACGGGCCGGCCTGGACAGCAGGGCCCTGGGTCCCCAGGGGAAGCAGAGGCCCCAGGTTTGTCGTTTTACTTGTTGCTGTAATTAGCTCCGTGTCTGTTTAAATAGATAGTGTTTGAGAGTGCTGATTAGCGGACAAAAGCAGGAATGAGTGATAGACTGAGTCAGTGAGCAGAATTAGCTCACTGAATTCACCTGTGTCCGGAGACGGTTAATTGGGACCAGCTGACAGGCATCAGGAACTGCCGTGCGGAAGGCACCACACGCCTCAACTCCGGGGGCTCGGAGGGCAGACCGAGCCATCGTGTAGGGCAACCTTTAACGACCCGCCTTTTTTTTTAGGTGGCAAGGCAGTAAAACTGCTGTCCTAAGTCGTCACCTCTACTCTGATCACTGAGAAAACTGTCATTTTTTCTATCATTGACAGTGTCCCTCAATTGGTCCAAGCTGTGTTTGCAAGGCTTGTCGGGTTCCCTACTTTAGCTGCAAGTGTAAGCAGGAAACTCATTGTCCAGGAAAAATAGAAGGAATCCCTTTACATCATCTCTAGATACCTATAATTTCTTAGAACACGTAGTTTTTTGCTCAGACTGTTATGTTTTTCCATTTTTTTAAATCCTGACCCAAGGATTTATGCTTATTGATTTGAGAGAGAGGGAGGGGGAGGGAGAGAGCAGGGAGGGACACTAACGTGAGAGAAACATCAGTCCATTGCCTCCAGTGGGCGCCCTGACCCAGGACTGAACCCACAACCTTTGGGGTGCAGGTCAGCACCCCAACCGACCGACCCGGCCAGGGCATGGTTTGTTTTTGTTTGTTTGTTTGTCTTTTTATTTTTATTACTATTAAATATTGTTGGAGTTTTGTTTGTTGCCGTGCATCTTATGGAATATGTTTGTTTCTCACATTTGTGGTAAATACCCATTGTTTGAAATCAAGCAGAAAGAGGCAAAGAAGAACCCCCACCCCCGGGAGCCCCGGGTGAGGACTGGACACGTCACTGGTGGCTGTGGCAGGGCGTCTCAAATACGGCGGGTTCACACCGAAACACGTGGCGACCGACATTACAGCCCCCTTTTCTGACGCAGCAGGTTAGAGATGAAAACATTTCATCCTGCATCCTAATCGAGTCAGAAAAGCGTGGGGTGAGAGTCAGCAAGAGCTGCTACCCTCAAAAGGGCGCCGAGCGTTGATTTCCGTTGGAACAGGCAGAGTGCCTATCACAGCACATCGCTGAACACAGAAAGTAGTCAATAAATAAAACACCTGCCCTAGACGTCGTTTTCCTGGACGGAGTCCACCTGTTCTTAACATGCGTGTGCTTTTGTTGTTGTTAACCAGATAGAGTTTGGCAGCAATAAAACCAAGGACTGTTACAGAGTCATCCTGAGGCTTTAGTTATTTCCCTTGTGACTTTAAATGCACATCTTCCTAGAGCGCCCTCGGTGACACTAAACTGGAAGAAAACCAGTCCCCACTGTCACTTAATAACGGCATCTGATTTCCTTGGATCCGAATTCCACAAACGTTGGACCGATGGGATCCCGAGTTGACTTGGCAGACGAGGTGTCTCTATCGGATGTGTCTACGTCTGCTGGGCCATCTGCTCCTCTGAAAACATCTAATGACACATTAAATGCAAGGTTGCATATTTGGTATTCAGTTGGTAAATGTTTGAAGGCCCATTAACTAAATTTTTATTTATTTATTTTTAAAGATTTTATTTATTTTATTTTTTAGACAGAGGGGAAGGGAGGGAGACAGAGAAACATCAATGTGTGGTTGCCTCTCATGCGCCCCCTACTGGGGACCTGGCCCACAACCTAATCATGTGTCCTGACTGGGAATCGAACTGGCGACCCCTTTGTTCTCAGGCAGCTGCCCAATCCACTGAGGCGCACCAGCCAGGGCCCATTAACTAAATTTTTATGAGATTCAAACATCTCTGGTAGAGTTTTGGCTTTGGGTTATAATCTTTTAATATGCTTATTTTATAGTAAAACAATCAATTTTAAGTGATTTTATTCTCTATAAATCACTCGTAAATGAAACATTGCCCCTTAACAGTTGCTAGGGTAGACTGACAATTCTTTTCTTCTGACCCTCGATCGACCAGCTTGTGAAGTTCACTCTCCTGTTGCTGCTGTAGCAGTTGTGGTCTAATTTCGGCTTTGAAGCCCAGCGGGCACCTCAGCCTGTTTCGCTTGCTCTCCAGCTGCATGTGAGTCAGAGCCGCAGCCAATGCGGTTCCCAGCTACTACACTGCAAGTTCCGTGTGCCTCTAGGCCATGCTGTTTCACGTAGGATGGGAGGCTTTACAGCTACGCTTTTCCTCTTTCCATACAGGCATCCAGAGGCGCCGAAAGCAGCCCAGAGGCTTCACAACAAACCATTCTCATCGACAGGGGAGGGACTGGGAAGTCACGGAA